TCTGCCCTCACAGGGGCCAATAGACACACAGTAAATGAGCAAGTATGAAGAACAGGGTGCCAAGAACCCTGTCGAGGCCTCCCTCTTGTTTCACTGAACCACACCTCCTTAGCTTCTCACTTCTCCAGTTGCCACGAAACTCAGGGCCCCACAGAAGTGCCAAGAGGCCTGGATGACTTCTTATATTAAAACACAAAGAAATGCCAGCTCAGGGCTAAAGAAATTGTGAGATACTCCAATGTTTATAATAAACAACTACAGTTTTGTCATGAGCATCTCCAGTCCTGTCAGTGTCTTTCTATGCCTGTGTGTATGATCTCATTTGGAGAGAATACCAGAAGTTTAAATTCTAGGCTTCTCACAGATGTGGGTGGCCCAGGCCAGAAGATCCTGCTCCTTCAGACCCCTACCTCCAGATGAGAACCGGCTCCAAGAGGAGCCTCTTGTCTCAGCAGCCACATGCCCCAGGCACAGAGGAGGAGCTCTTTCCTGCTGTGGCTGACATTTCCTTTCTCAGGTTTTCCACCTGCCCTTTGTAACTTATAGATTTGCTAAATATTGTTGCTTTCTGAGTCACCTTCCTTCTGCCAAATACTTGACTTTAATTTTCTGAAACAATATTTCAGGAACTTTTATAGGTGAGGTGGATCTCTTGAAGACAGCATATAGTGGGGTCTAGCTTTTTAATCCAATCAGTCTGTGTCTTTTGAATGGGGAGTTTAATCCATTTACATTTAGGGTTTTTATTGATAAGTATTGCTTTACTCCTGTCATATTGTTTTTCATTTAGATATTTTAAACATTATTTGTCCTTTTTGTCCCCTTTTATTTTTCATCTTCAATGTTAGTTGGATTTTTGAGGTGACATGATTTAGCTTCNTCCTCCTCTTTAGCTTCTGCTGGTGACTCTTGTTTTATTGATGCAGTTGAGTATGCGGTGGGCTGCTTTGGCTCCTGTTCAGTCAGTGTGCAGATCCTGCACATGCTCATCTGTGCAGCCCACAAGGTGGTTTAGTGGGGCCTTGTGAGCCTCCCTGTGCTCAGGTGTGGGTGGGGCCTGCAGCTGTGTTGGTCCCTGGTGGGACTTGGGTCCTATACTTGTTCACCTGTGTCAATCAACGAATGACTGGATAAAGAAAATGTGGTATGTATACACAATGAAATACTACTCAGCCATAAAAAAGAATGAAATTCTGCCATTTGCAACAACATGGATGAGTCCGAAGAAAATTATGTTACGTGAAATAAGCCAGACAAAGAAACAGAAATACCACATGTTCTCACTCATAACTGGCTGCTAGGAAGCGAGGGAGGGAGGGAGGAAAGGAGGGAGGGAGGGAAGAAGGAACAAATGAAGAAAAGAAAGAAAGAAAAGGCCACAACATGTTGAACTTTCAGAAGGAGAGAATAAACCTAAGGATGCCAGAGATGGGGGGAAGGAGGGACAGGGCTTGGGAAGTGATAGATCAGGCAAAGGGCATAAAGAAATACCATGATTTGTAGGAACGAATATGCTAATAATAAATTTTAAAAAAAATTTTTTTAAAGGAACTGGTAGGAGCAGAAGTTAAGAGACCCAGAAAGTCTTTGGGCCCCCAGGGTTTTTCCAGTCCTTGACTGATGCTGCAGCATATCCACCATCCCTTACAGTCACTTGTGTCGATTCTTTTCTCCAGCTGGTTTCAGTGCTGAAAGAAATGAGCTATCTTGAATCCAGAGAGAGGAAGCACATTCCTGAGACAGCAGCAGCCCTGTTCTCCTCCAGGGAATTCTATCGGCAGCTTGTGGCTAACTTGGAGTTGATGGCAAACTGGTACAACAAAGTTATGAAAACCCTGCTAGAGGTGGAATTTCCATTAGTGGAGGAAGAGCTGCAAAATATTGATCTCTGCCTGAGAGCTGCAGAGGAGACTCTGAACTGGAAAACAGAAGGTAACAGGCACCACCTGGAGTCTAAAGGAAACG